GAGGTCGGGAGTATGTTGTGACGTCGCTATGTCCGCCTGTAGTGAAACATTCTGCGTGTCGGAGCCAGCCAGGCTGGAGTCGGGTGGATTGCACCGCTGCCTTAGGATGCACAGCGGGACGTCGCCGGAGACGACGCGGTAGGCTCGTCGTCCTCCTCCTTCTCTCCCACGGTGAGGCGGGGCGTGAGGCTGGGCAACATGATGACCTTCGTTGCCTGAGTCTTTCGGGCCGCAGTGGGAATCTACGAGTTGGAGGCCTGGGGCGTCGAGGTGGGAGCGGGAGTCGGAGTGTGGAGGCGAATGTGAAACTTGAGGTAGCGAAACACGTTCCATTCGAAAAACAAGATGATCTTGATGAGGCAGTCCTGCTAGATGTACCTGTGTGTCGTCACCTGTCAGGACAACGGGCGGCGAGGATCCTGTAGGGCAGAATTCTGTTACCTTGCGATTTGCATTGTGGACGTTATCGCTGCCGTTTTGATGCAGCCGCGAAGGCTCACTCTCTGAACTCTCACAGATCACTGTCTGTGTCGGGGTCCGGGCTGATTTTGGACCGAAAAATGCTTAGTGAGTTGCCCACCTTTTCTTCCACAGATTTGCCCACTGTAGTCGTTTTCCACTGTCCGTGCACATCGTACCATGCCACCTTTTTACCATTTACGGTGACCATCCGTTTGCCCCATAAGATCTGCACAGTGTTGTCCCGGTGCTTTGGATCGTCGCGTAGATGAAACTTCGTGTAGCCCAGCCGCTTGTCTGCAATCTGCTCCTCGGTTGTTTGGTTGTTTTTGAAGAATATGCCATCCAACCAATTCTTGTCCTCGAGCCCCTGGTATTTCTTGTAAAATGCAACTTTATCTGGTAGTGTATGGAACGTAACCATTGCCATCTTCGTGGGGTTTTTGAACGTGTTCACGCTGAGGTTGCTGATATCGCCCTGAATTTGCTTTAATATACCCTCCAGCTTGGGTACCAATTCTTCTGCTGGTAGCGGCTCTTTGAAACCCAGTGCAACCATCTGCTTGTTCCTGTCCTCTGTGTCTTTGCTGTCCTGGTTGTTACCTGTGGTCTTACTCTTCAGGCTGCCCTTGATCTCTTGAATGTCCTTCTTCATATCCTCCACCGCTTGCTCAGCTATATTCGCGGACACCTTCGCCTGACGTGCAATGTCCTTGGCCTATTCTGCCTCACTCTTTGTATCCTTCATGTCCTTCCTGATGCCTGCCATCATCTTCATCATCCTCTTCATCATGCACTTCATGTCCTCCTCTTCTACTTCTTCTTCCTCTTCCATTTCCACCTCCTTTGGCACCTCATCTTCTTTCCCACCTTCACCCTTCATTTTTCCCAACCATCCTGTGGTGTTGGGTCCTCGTTTTGAAGAGACGGTGCCCCGCGTCTCTCCTCCTCTCCTCCTCCTCCCCCTCCTCCTCCTCCTCCTCCTCCTCTCATCATCAGCATCATCAGCATCGTCATCGTCACCGTCATCATCAGCATCATCATCATCATCGTTCTTATCACCATCGTCGTCATCATCATCGCCGTCTCCATCATGGCCACACGTTTCGTGGACCCATAGTGAGCTCCACCGAAGGCCCCAGTGGCAAGGTCCGCATGCGGTTCCACCTCCATTTCGGCGCACCCCTCACACGTTCCGTGGCCCCATAGGGAGCTCCACCGAAGGCCCAAGTGTCAGGGTCCGCATGCGGTTCCACCTCCATTTCGGCGCACCCCTCACACGTTTCGTGGCCCCATAGGGAGCTCCACCGAAGGCCCAAGTGTCAGGGTCCGCATGCGGTTCCACCTCCATTTCGGCGCACCCCTCACACGTTTCGTGGCCCCATAGGGAGCTCCACCGAAGGCCCAAGTGTCAGGGTCCGCATGCGGTTCCACCTCCATTTCGGCGCACCCCTCACACGTTTCGTGGCCCCATAGGGAGCTCCACCGAAGGCCCAAGTGTCAGGGTCCGCATGCGGTTCCACCTCCATTTCGGCGCACCCCTCACACGTTTCGTGGCCCCATAGGGAGCTCCACCGAAGGCCCCAGTGTCAGGGTCCGCATGCGGTTCCACCTCCATTTCGGCGCACCCCTCACACGTTTCGTGGCCCCATAGGAGCTCCACCGAAGGCCAGTGCGGTCCGCATGCCACCTCCATTTCGGCGCACCCCTCACACGTTCGTGGCCCCATAGGGAGCTCCACCGAAGGCCCAAGTGTCAGGGTCCGCATGCGGTTCCACCTCCATTTCGGCGCACCCCTCACACGTTTCGTGGCCCCATAGGGAGCTCCACCGAAGGCCCAAGTGTCAGGGTCCGCATGCGGTTCCACCTCCATTTCGGCGCACCCCTCACACGCTTCGTGGCCCCATAGGGAGCTCCACCTGAGGCCCCAGTGGCAGGGTCCGCATGCACCTCCATTTCGGCGCACCCCTCACACGTTTCGTGGCCCCATAGGGAGCTCCGCCTAAGGCCTAAGTGGCAGGGTCCGCATGCAGTTCCACTTCCATTTCGGCGCACCCCTCACACGTTTCGTGGCGTCATAGGGAGCCCCGCCTAAGGCCCAAGTGGCACGGTCCGCATGCAGTTCCACCTCCATTTCGGCACACCCCTCACACGTTTCGTGGCCCCATAGAGAGCTCCGCCTAAGGCCCAAGTGGCAGGGTCCGCATGCAGTTCCACCTCCATTTCGGCGCACCCCTCACACGTTTCGCGGCCCCATAGGGAGCTCCACCGAGGGCGCCAATGGCAGGGTCCGCATGCAGTTCCACCTCCATTTCGGCGCACCCCTCACACGTTTCGCGGCCCCACAGGGTGCTCCACCGAAGGCCCCAGTGGCAGGGTCCGCATGCAGTTCCACCTCCATTTGGCGCACCTCTCACACGCTTCGTGGCCCCATCGGGTGTTCCACCAACGACGATACTTACAACGGCGGCATTCGGAATTGCGTATGGTTGGGCCCTTCGCCAGGCTAATGTGATCCTTAGGCGTCGAGCCCGTGCTCGAGTCTTCTTTTTTCTTTCCACCCTTCTCCCTCGTTGACATCGTCGATACTGTACGGGAATTTAAGGGGGTACTGGCGCGATCGGGAATTTAAGGGGGTACAGCTCCTGACCATTGAACCTTGAACCTTGAGCCAAAATGGCTTGAGCCAAGATGGCACCGCCGAACGCCCCATAATTGCCTCCAAGATGGCGCCAGATGGTCCAAGGTTGGACCCAAGACGGCCAGGAGACTGGTCCAAGGTGCCTCGGAGACCCCGAGGGATACGCCCAAGAGGCCAGCGTCATTCAAACACATCTGTTGTTGCAGTGATGTTGGCCTTCCCCCTTCTCGCTTCCGATTGGCTTCCGAGGCCTCATGGTGGTTCGAAGATCACCCAAGAGGGCGCCAACCAAGACGGTCCGAAGAGCACCCCAGGGTGCCCCTAAGAGCGTCGCAAGAAGGCCCCAAGAGGCGACATTTCGGTCAGCGACGGGGGGCCCGAATTAGTGCCGCATGCTGACTTAAGTCGGGCGTGCCCTCCTACAGACGGATTTTGAGCGAAAAATGAAAAATCAAACAATGCCGAGAAATATAAAAACAAGATTCGAAACATCGTCCCCATCTTATGTTTGGACATGTTTTGAGCATTCCTCCTGTAGAGGGACAGGCCCGACTTAAAGCAGGGCCCCGATGTCAAAGATCGCCTCTCGGAGGCTTCCAGCAGGGGGCCCCCGAGAGCTCCCAGGTGGCTCCAAGGAGTCGGTCTCCCACCGACCTCTGACTTCACCGTTGTTCGCCTTTCTGAATCACTGCATGCTTGTTGGCGTCCCTTCTACCTACAGCTCGCCTGGCGATGGTTCCTGGATGGGTGGGTGGGGATACGCGAATCGTCAAGAGTTGAAATCTCGAATGCCCGCGAAAGCACAGGCACCGCGCCGAAATCTGCAGTAGGCAAAGGAGGAGCGCCTGCACTAATCAGAACAAACGTGCACCACGCTAACTCGTCGTCACCTCACCCTCCAGCTCGCAGCTCATGAGCAAGTCTAGGTCCAAGAATATGCCGCCAGAGCCGATGACACACGCAGGACACCATATGAGCGCAGCAAAGCTTTGAAGCCAAACAGCGACCGCCACCCAATCAGCGGGATGTAAAGGCCGTAACAACAAAGATGATTGGGTGTTCAGGTAGATGCCAAAGACCGTGTCTCCGACTCGGAACCGTGCAGACCGACCAAAGAGGGCGACGGTGACATGGACCCCACTGAGGGCGCGGACCGCGCAATAAGGCCGCCATCGGTGACGAACGCCTCGGTGAGGCCCCAGATGATCACGCTGACGAGCGGCTGGTGGACCTGGGGACGGGACCAGCCAGTGCGCCAAGCTCCCTGCACGACACGGACCCTTGGCCATCCGCCGCCGGCCCACGGCCGCTGCAGGTCCAGCAGGTGAACACATGCTGGCCGGGATCTGCGCCATAGCAGCCCAGGGAGACGCCCGCGCCACCCCTGCCGGCACGCCTGCTGCCCGCCTGCTTCCTCATGCTGCGTGCGACACGTGCCCGCGACGCCTACCTGCCTGCTTCCTTGTGCTGGGTGCCTCGCAGACGCGAGGTGGCGCGCGTCGCAGCTCGCGTAGCCACGCCACCTTCGGTGGCAACTCATGGGAGCCTCCCATGCCATCTTGTTGGCTCTTGCGAATCGACGCTAATCGACGCAAGTTGACGCTGAGTCGACGCTGAATCGGCGATGACTCATCGATCACCAGACGCTAGCGCACGCGAGTGCACTCTGAAGACGGACCTTCGAAGACACAGCAGGCTCCCATGATTTGCTACCGAACGCCACCCCTGCCACTGCTCTACCACGACGGCTCCACCACGCTGGGCGCCGGGGGCTCCACGGCGCCCCGACTGCGGGGGCGGGCGGCGGGCTCGATGGTCTCCTGGTGGGCGTGCTCGTCGGGCCGCGCGGGAGCCGTGGGCTGCCCAGGTCCTGAGCGGCGCGGGCGCAGCCGCGCCCGCGTCAGGCCATCATGCGGGCCAGCTGCGACTCGCGCAGGAAGGTGGGGCCGCCGGGCGCCTCCGCTCCCAGGGGCACGAGCCCCTCGACGCCTCGCCGGCAGATGGGGCACTTGGCCGGCCAGAGAGAGGCGGGCGCGCACTCGTCGCACAGGCAGAGGTGCCTGCATGGCAGGCACACCTGCGTCCGCGGGGCGCTCAGGCACACCACGCAAGGCTGCGGCGGGCGCACCACCTCGCCAAACTGCAGGCTCTGTGGCGACACGGTGCGCAGCTGCAGCGACCAGCACATCCGCCCGCACGAATGGCTCTGGAAGAAGCGCCGCATGCCCGCCTCTCCGAGATCCGCGACGCCGAATTTCCTCGCACGGCTGTTGATCTGTGGGTCTGTCCATCTGGTGCCGACTCCTTGGATGTCGACGCACAGTTCCTTGCCGCCCGTGTGGTCGAAGGTGAAGTGGCTGAACGCTGCGGCTATCTGGCCAGCCTCCCCACCAGACACACGATTGACAAACCCGTCGTTGCCATTGAACTTCATGTACGGACCTGGTATATACTTCTCGGCGGTCACGTAGCGGAATGCACTATCCTCGGCCGGGTCGCTGATCTGCATGACATGGGCTTTCACAAACTGGATTTCGCGGATGGCGCTCTCGTCCTTATCTCTCTCTTTCATGCTCCTGACGGCCTGGTTGAATTCCCTGGCGAGCTCCTCGGCACGGCGGTGGTTCTGCAGGAAGAACTTGCGCACGTCCTCAGGGGAGCGGTGGCCCGTCGCATACTTGCTCTCCTTCACCACCAAATGCACCACTTTACCGCCTGGCTCTGCCGGGCAGCCCTGGACGCTTCGAAAGTGGAACGCGTACCGCAGGGCCCCCTGCGCGAAGGGCTGCCTGTGCAGGAACATGCGCTTGCCGTCGCCCTGCGGCACGAGACTTCCAGACGACGACCCGGGCGTCTCCACACATGGCCAGGACCAGCAAGGCTGCGAGATGTCGTCGAGCTCTTTCTGCGAGGCTGTCTTCCAGGCCTCTGGTGCCTCCAGTAGCTTCGCCGGGAGAGGCTTCAATGCCTCGTCCCCCAACTCCAACAGCGTGCCTCGCAGTGCGGAAACAGAGGCTGACAGGCGGCAGAAGATGCCCTGCAGGTGATCCGCAATGCCTGCGTCACAGCCATGGTGGAAGCTGCCCCCGCCCGCCACTGCGAGCCGGCGCAGGCAAGACGTGTCGAACGAGCCGACGCCGACGCAGTGCAAGACAAGCATGTTGCCCAATCGCAAGCGCAGATCCCTCAGGGCCTGCTCGATGCACGCGGGGTCGCGCTTCTCTCGAGGAGCAACAAAAGGGCAGAAAACCTAAACTATTGGAGCTCCGCGCGGGCTTCTTGGATAGGCGCCAGAAGTGCCGCCAGGGGGGGCCCAGCGTCGATCAGAGAGATCCGCGCGGAGCTCCGGCAGTCTACGATCATGCCGCTGTTGGCTCTTCGCTTCTCCCAGATCACCTCGGTCGGCTCGCCGTCGCTGAGCAGGATGCCCACCTGCACCCCCGCGCCCGAGCAGAGCTGCTCCAGGGCGCGCAGGGCCTGCAGGTACCGCCCCGTGCCGCGCAGCACGTTGCACCCCCGCACCTGCTCGAGCCGCGCCCGCGCGCGGTCGGCGCTCTGGCCCCGGAACTTCACCTCCACCTCTTCGGCGCCAACTCGTGGGAGCCTGCCATGCCATCCTGCTGGCTCCTGCCAGTCGGCGAGAATCGACGCAAACTCGGCGCGAAATCGACGCTGAGCTGGCGCTCTCTCATCGATCACCAGACGTTCATCGACGCCAGTGCACTCTTGGAGACGGAACTACGCGGACAAACGAGGCTTCCATGATCTGCCACCGAGCACCTCGTCGTCGAAGGTCGCGAGCGAACACGAGACGCCGCCGACGCCAACCATGGCGCCCAGGAACGCGTCAACGGCGTCGAACGCGTGGACGATGCCAGGGAGACAAAAAGGTACCGACCCCGCTGCTCCCCAGACCTCTCCCGGGCTGCGTTCTGACCAGAAGCTCGAGGCGAATCCAGCGGTGGCGACGAGGGCCTCCCAGGAGGCCTAAAATGGCGAAAGCAATGAGAGGGTGGAGGCATCAGAAGAAGAAAAAAATGCCATGGACATATACTGTTGGCGCTCCGCGCGGAGTTCTTGGATCCGCGCGACAAAAAGTGTATGGTTATGGCGTTTGTTCCTGCTCGAGGTGGTATCATTAGGTCGGGCATGTCCCCCTACAGGCGGTTTTTGAGCGAGACACTGAAAATAGTCACAAGACATACAAACAATACTCAGAACTACAACTAACATCGTCCCCTGATTATTGTTCAACTATTCTTGAATATTCCTCCTGTAGAGGGACAGGCCCGACTTACAGGTATCAGTAGCTTTTCCTCCTCTGAGATGCGGCGCTCGATCTGCATGCTGCCCGAGTTGTCCACCAGGAAGGCGACGTGCACGGCCGCAGGAGCTGCCGAGGACGTCCCCGGCGCAGCCGAGGGCGTAGCCGGAAGCGGCGCCTCCCTCCGCCGCTTGGGAGGCCTTCTTGGGGAGAACCTCCTCCTTCTCCTCCCCCTC